TATGTGGCTGGCCCCTTAGCCGCTTGAGCCACGGGCGCCAAGACCCAGGTAGCAACTTTTAAGAAACCCTCTACTGAAGACAGTAAAACCAGTAACACTTTTTAGGTATGAAGGACTGAAAGCTGAGAAGAATTTGACCCCCCCAAAATTCCTCCTTGTCCAATACATGTTCAACTAGTGCTGAATAGCCCTCAAACCACCTCCAACTTTTCCTATCCCCAGCAAAAATTCCAGAGAACCTTAAATACGGCCCACACCAGTTCCTGTGTCAGTTCCCAGGAGCAGGCCTTAGCTGCCTCCTCAAAAGAAATGCTGGAAGAAAAAAGGGTAAGAGGGAAGATACTCTTTCCCTTACCTAAGCTTGTCCCAGGTTTATGTTGACACTCCCATGCCCCTTGAATCACTAATGAGGCAGAACTGCAGGCAACGAAAACGCCAGGGCCAATGACTCACAACCCACCCCAAGCCGGTCGGACAGAAGCAGCCATAAGCTCACTCCTCTGCAGCCCTTCAGCCTCAGCCCTCTAATTTTTCCATCACACTCCATCATCCACAGGGAACAGACTCCTCGAACATCTGGAAAGTCCATCAGTAGAGAGGCGCTGCGAACCGAAGCAGTAGGGAAAAAAAACTCCAGGGCTTTAAGCAAAGTTGACTATCAGCCCCAACCTTCCTGACCCGACCCGTGAAGCCCAGGCCGGAGATGGCGGGACTGGCTAAGACACACCCAGTTACCAGCAGTGTGGCTCCAGGGATGATACTAGATGCCCGACTGCCTGGAACGCGAGCCACGTGGACATCGCTTCCCTGCCCCCACGTGGACCGGCGGTCCGCGCCCCCCTCTACCAGGAACCCAACCCACGTGGGTGCCTGGGCCGCCTAGAGGGGGAGGGGAAGCAGACAAGTTCTCCCGGGAAAATTGTTCCCCCCACCCCACGTGGCTCCGAAAAGAGAACCGCTGCGCTGGGCAAGAGGAGGCGCACTAAGCATCTTTAATGGGAAAGTCTTTGACTCTTAAGTCCAAATCCCTGACCCCGCATCGTGGGCCATGTTTCCGACACCCGGCTCTGACCCACTGGCGTTCCCCAGAAATGGCTGTAGAGACTCTGCCTCTGCTTGCCTTCCCCCAACAAATGGCTTAAGTCTACTTGACCTGACCTAGCTCCTGTGGCCACCCGGCATCAACTCTCAGGCGCTTCCTCCCTCTCCTGTGGCGTCCACGTGTCACCGCCCGGCACACATCGCTTTGCTGCCAGCTGCGGGCCGCCCGCCAGCCTCTCACCTGCTCTCCGCCGCTCACAGCGCCCAAGGTCCCATACGGCACTTGGCTTCGACTCCCCCAACCGCTGCCGCGGACTCCACCACCGGGGTCTGGGCCGGGGCCCCCACCCGGAGGCGGCGCGACTCCATCTCTCCGTCCCCGGCGCGCCGCCATCTTGGCCCCTGAACACCCAGCGCTGCTGGGATCGCCGGCGCCGCCTCGCCCAGCAGATTGTAGGAAAGGAACTACAACACCCAGATAACACTGCAAGACTACCGTTCCCAAAAGGCCGTGCGGCGAGACCACTCGTACCCGAGAAGAGAGACCTGGCCTTGCGCGAGGATTCCTGGGAGTGGTAGTCGTTTTCCGCCGGTCTTGTCTGGCACAAATTCTAGTAGTGGTTAGAGACAGGGAGACCATTTTGAGCGGTGCGAGACAATAAGGGGGAAGAGTTAACATATTTTATTTTTGTTAATTTGTCCAACCGTTGAAACGCCCTTTGTCTGACGTGCTACTTGCTGTACATTCATTTCACCTTAATCCAAATGGGTCTATGTTTTGAAACAGCACCCCCTAGTGGGAGCTGACTCTCACCTAGTTCCACACTGCGGCAGTACCGCAAGTTTAATCATAAAATACCGCGTTCGCGGCTCTCTGCTGCCAGTCGGAAGGCTGCATTGACTTCTCATTTTTTTTTTTTTTTTTTGAGACAGAGCCTCAAGCTGTCCCCCTGGGTAGAGTGCCGTGGCATCACAGCTCACAGCAACCTCCAA